CTTTCACTTTTCACATTTTAAAAGAACTTTACATTTTTGGTGCATTTTTAGGGCAACACAGTTAATTTTTTGAATTACTGGCAATGAAAGGCATCACGAACTAACAAAAAAACGCAGTAAGAATGCAAAGAAATAAGCAGGTAAAAGAACATAATACTTTAGAATGTTCCGGATATTTTCTACCTTTATTAAAACATTGACATTCTTACAAGATAGATCAGAGCAAGCATTTCCATAACCTAGAACTTCTTCCTTCAGCTCAGAGACAGTGGTAAACACTCTGTAGAGCAAAGATGGGCTTCTTTGGCCAAGCGTCATTTTCAGATTGGCCAGGAGCACAGGGACCATACATCCTAGAAGCCATAGCCAAAATGGGAGATATGTTGAAAAAAGAGGCTAATGAATGGTCGTTCTGAATAACACATTGCAGCATTTAAGCACCTTATGTGGAAACCGCTACAGTGTACGAGTGTTTTTGTAAATGACCACACCTGCTGTATGTCCAACCTGCTCATCAGATATTGATAGACCTTTGTTACTGCATTAACAAAAGTGTGAGGAATTTTAAAAATTGTCAGATGTAATCCTAAACATTTATTTATTTATTTATACTTCAGGGGATAAGTGCAGCAGTGACCTCCTTGTGACATTTCCTAATAAAAGGCAGGCATGGATTCTCTTGACAATTTCTGATTTGGTGTTGCTAAGCCCCTGGGAAAGCGCTATATCACAAGTCAGGAATTGGAGCAACAACAACCACAGTGGCATCAGGAAGCTCTTAGCTTTCAAAATATCTGTGAAGCTTCTCAGTCATCTAGGTGAGGTTATCTGGACATTGCCATGACTCAATCTTGGATGCTGCCTAGTCAAGGTTGCCTCACTTCAGCCTACCTGTGTAACAGGCAAAAGAAATTCATTCCCCCGCCCCTGGTGTGCCACCTCCTTCCTCCATTCTTGAAAAGATAAATGGCCGGTCACTTCCTTGAGGTTTCTGGAGTCACTGATGTGTTCAGTATAGCCAGTACAATCTCCTGCACATTTTGTGAATGGGGATGTGGTTTCAACCTGTGGTGTCCTGCACAATCCCTTTAGATGTTGTGTTGGTGAGTCGCCCAATCTAACCTTCTATGCATTCTAAAGTTCAAGTTCATGGGCTCTTACCCACACATCCCTCTTTCTGTTCTCTGCAAGCACAACTTGACACAACACTATGCAATTTCCCTTGGTGCCCAAGGCGGAATGTCTGTTGGGATCTCTTTTCTCAGCATTATAGGGAAGCTGCTTGGCCGTATTGTGCTGAAGAGACTCCAGGTGCTAGCAGACAGAGTGTATCCAGAATCACAGTGTGGATCTTGAGCTAATAGATCCACCACCGACATGGTATTTTCCTTCAGACAGTTGCAGGAGAAATCTAAGGAACAACGACAGCCACTCTGTGGCCTTCATAGATCTTACAAAGGCCTTTGATTTGGTTAGCAGGGACGGCCTTTTTAAAATGCTTCCCAAGACTGGATGTCCACCTTGACTCCTTAACATCATCAGGTCCTTTCATGAGGGAATGAAGGGCACTGTAGTTTTTGATGGCTCAACATCAGATCCCTTTGACATCCGAAGCAGAGTGAAACAAAAAACACCCTGATCACTATAATCACCCAATCTCCTGAAAAGGACAAAAAGCTGATCCCATAGCTACAAATACTCAACTATCCCACACACTACACGAGAACACAGACAGAATTCTAACTCCTGACCTCTGAAGATGCCAGCCACAGAGAATGGCAAAATGTTATGAAGAAAAACCTGCAACAACCATCGGATTCCAGCCATGAAAACCTTCAAGAATACATTATCACCTTGAACGAGTTCATATCTCCAGGGCTGGGTGAACTGCATTCGAGAATACTGAAGGAACTAGCTAAAGAACTCTCAGAGTTCATGGGAAATGGGTGAGGTGCCAGATGATTGAAGGAGGGCTAATTTTGTCCCTATCTTCAAAAAGGGCAAAAAAGAGGAACCTGGGAACTACAGGCCAGTCAGCCTGATGTCAATCATAGGGGAAATCCTCAAACAGATTATAAAATGGTATCTATGCAAGCACCTAGGAAACAATGCAGTAATAACTACAAACCAACACAGATTTGTCAAGAACAAATCTTGCCAGACTAATCTGATCTCATGTTTTGATCAGGTAACCTCCCTGATGGACAGAGAGAATGTTGTAGACATAATATGACTATAGCAAAGCTTTTGACAAAGTGTCCCATGGTATCCTGATTAGTAAGCTAACTAAGTGCAGGTTTGATAGATAAGTGTCAGGTGGATACACAATTGACTACAGAATTATATTCAGAGGGTGATGATTAATGGCTCCTTCTCAAACTGGGAGGAGGTAACAAGTGGGGTAACCCAAGGCTCAGTCCTGGGTCTGGTGCTCTTCAACACTTTTAATAATGACCTGAATGAGGGAATTCAGGGAATGCTTGTCAAATTTGCAGGTGACACAAAATTGGGTGAAATAGCGAATACCTTGGAAGACAGAAACAAAATTCAAAATGATCTTGATAGGCTGAAGCACTGGGCTGAAAAACAACAGAATGAAATTCAAAAGGGATAAGTACAAAGTACTGTATTTCAGAAAAAGAAATGAAATGCACAGTTACAAGCTGGGGGATACCTGCCTCAGCAAAACTACAAGAAAGAAGATTTTTGGAATTGTCATAAATCAGAAGTTGATTATGAGTCAACAGTGTGATGTGGCTATAAAAAAGACAAATGCTATTTTAGGCTGCATTAACAGAAGTATAGTTTCCAAATCTCACAAGGTGCTAGTTCCCCTTTGTTCAGCAGTGGTTAGGCCTCACCTTGAGTACTGTGTCCACTTCTGAACACCACACTTCAAGAAGGATGCTGACAAATTGGAACAAGTTCAGAGGAGGGCAACAAGGATGATTGGGGAGGGCTGAAACCATGGTCTGTGAGGAAAGACTGAAAGAACTGGGCATGTTTATTCTTGAGAAAAGAAAACTGAGGGCTGTTGTACAGAGGAGGGGCAGAAAGTGTTCTTAATCATCCCCGAGTGCAGGACACACAACAATGGGCTCAAGTTACAGGAAGCCAGATTTCAATTGAATATCAGGAATTACTTCCTAACTGTTGGAGCAGTAAGACAATGGAACCAATTACCTCAGGATGTGGTGAGTGCTCCAACACTGGAGACACTCAAGAGAGACTTAGACAATCATCTGACAGATATCCTTTGTATTCCTGCATTGAGCAGGGGGTTGGACTTGATGGCCTTATAGGCCCCTTCCAACTTCACACTCTATCTCTTCTTCTCCAATAGGTTGTTTCATCAAATCTCTATCTATGTCTTGAAGTCTATTCCCTAAATTGTTCTCGGTTTATATAGCTAATCAAATGAGATATATGGTGGATATTTTGACACAACCTAATGAATTAATATGGTCATAACTGGAATTTCAAGATGTTGGTAGCAACCTGAAAAAAATTATCTTTAAACAAAATAATATTAGTATTGTAAAGAAGATTGAAATTCCCTTTCTTAAGAACATGGTACAAATATGGAACAGATATAGAAAAATATTTATCTCATTAATTTCTTCATTACATCTCTTAAAGGAATTATAGAATTTTCCTGGGAATTTGAAAGAAAGTTTAGAGAAGATATTAAGAAGGAAACTGGTTATTAGAATAAAAGATTGGATGAAGAGGATGGGTAGTAAAGAATAAATAATAGAAGTGCTGGAAATGGAAAAATTATCATGGTACAGTATTACAGTATACAATTGGAATGCTGGATTAGAGAATGGGTGAAAAGAAATGTTGAATGTAGAGAGTTTACAAAATTAGAAGAAAATGGGAGTAAAAGAATGAATGGTAACCCAAGGCTCAGTCCTGGGTCTGGTGCTCTTCAACCTTTTTATTAATGGGTTTAACAAGAGGTTTTAAAGATACTATGGGAAGCTGATTTGGGAAAGGAAATAAGTATTGAAGAGTGGAAGAATATATGGAATAAAAGAATCTTAAAATATATGTCTGTAAGAATAAAAGTAAAAAATTTACAAATTGGAGAAGGTACTTAACACTAGTGAAACTGAACTGTATGCATACATTTTTTCTAAGATATGCTGGAGATGTGAGCAGGAAATAGGAGCCTATTTTCATATGTGGTAGGAAAGTGAATATATGATGAACTTTTGGAAACTGGTTTTTAAAGAGATAAGTGAAATATTCAATGTAGGAATATGTCCTAAAATAGCACTCTTATCAATATTTGAGAGTGAACAGTAGAATTGGACAATGAAATAAATGATCACAAGTCTATTAACAGCAGCTAAATTAATAACAGCGCAGAACTGGGAAGTTAAGTGCATTCTCCAATTAAATGAATGGTACAAAGAAATATGCAATATAACTGTCAATGATACATTGATATGTAATATTGAAATAAGAAAATGGTTGGCAGATAAGAATACTATGTTTAGAGATATGATAAGAATGTATTTATTTTGTACTAACAAAAGGGAAGGGTTGTGTACCATTACAAAAATCAATGTATTTTTGGAAAGGGATTTGGGCTCCATAAAAGAAATGAAATACAATGTCTTCATTGGTCCTGGTGTGGGGGGAGCATGTTAAGTGTATAAACATTTTCTTTAGTTTAGTTTTTTATGTATATTTTAAAAAAATGGCTTACTGAATTACCAGCACTCTTAAGTTCAGAAATGGAAATATATAAAATATTTACTTATCCAAATTTCACTATGTTCATAACGCCACCTGGGTGTTAAGGAAATGATACCGGGGTGGGTGGTAAAAACAGAACCTTCCTGAGATTTGCATTGCTCTCTGTAGCATCATCTGACCATTGAAAAAGTGCCAAACAACAATTTTGTTTGTTTCTCTGGATCTGAGACAAGAACCAGGAGAGCCAGAAACAGATACAACCTCTCGGACATTGCTTTCAGAAAGCGACAACAATGTTCAACGATATTCTGTCTCCAGTTTTCATATTTTTTTGGATCATTTTAGGAATTCTATCTGTCATTGCCCTTTTAGGAAATGGGTTTATTACAGCTATGATCAGTCACCAATGGCTCCAAACTGGGAAGATGGCTTCATGTGATTTCCTCTTAACCAGCTTGAGCACCTCCAGATTTCTGCTGCAGTTGTCTTCTCTCTTAGGCTATCCTGTGTATTTCAACATTCCTGAGGTCAGCTTTTATTATTCTGCTCTAGCAGTCATGAGCATTTCCTGGTTCTTATTTCACATAACCAGCCTCTGGAGTGCCACATGGCTCAGCATTTTATATTGTGTGAAGGTCACCAACTTTCCCAATAATTTCTTCTTCTGGTTGAAAACAAGAATCAATGTGCTCGTGCCCAGACTGTTTGCAATGTCGGTAGCTGTTTCCATTATCGTCTCTCTTCCGTCATTTGTCTGTTATTTTCAAGATGAAAAATCATGCAATCTAACAGACACTCAGTCAGTGAATAACTACCAAAACTTGTTCTTTGCTCCCATTTCTCTGCATTTCACTATTATGGCCATAAATTTCAGTCTAAATGTAACAGCATCCATTCTTTTGCTTGCTTCTCTGTGGAGGCACACAAGGAATCTGAGGGAGAATGGTATTGCTCTTAAGGACCTCAACACTCAAGTCCACATCAAGGTCATGAAGTCCATTCTGCTTTATCTCTTCTTGTATGTTTTGTATATCACATCGATGATGCTTGCTACAGCCCATATTCTCAAGTATGGAAGACCTGAGCGACTTGTAACTGAAATCCTGCTCTCTGCTTTGTCTGCAGTACACTCTGCCATATTAATATCGACTAATCCAAAACTTAAAAAAGCATCTGCTTACATTCTAAAAATCAGAGAAAGGGCTTCTTGAAAAAGAAAGAGAGCAGCAGGTGTGTGTTTCTTGGGTATCCCCAAAATATACCTCCCTCCTTCCTACTGTCTCTCTTTTTGTCCCCAAATCTAGACACTGATATGGTGGCTGAGTAACCAGTTGTTCTTGCAGACATCAGCATGCCACATCTTCAATTGGTGAGGCATGACACTCCTGAGTTAAGAAGACTGGGCACCGGAGCAGCAGATACCTCCAAGCCAGCCAGACCTGACATCCTGAGCTATCAAGGGCTGACATTCTGCATCTGAATACAGGTGAATCTGCATTCTGAATCTGAATCCTGAAAAGCCCGTGGTAATTACAGTAGCCCCTGGCCTGCTTCCAGCCCTTGATTGCCTGCCTGCCTTCGGGTGCTCCACATGTCTGCAAGCTGGACCATTACTATTTTCAAGCTCTGGAGCCAGTGTGCCAATGGGAGCGGCAGGAGTAACTAGAGAGGTAAAAAAATAAGCTAGGTTTCAGGCTGTTCTGTTAAGGGAAGAAATGGCCATCTTCCAGAGATTTGGGGGCTACATTCACTCCCTCATACCCTGGGAATGTTTCCCATGCCCTCCAATCCTTCCTCATACCTCTAGCCCAATGATGGTGAACCTTTTTGAGCCCAAGTGCCCAAACTGGGGGGAAAAAAGAAATTAAATGAAACAGCAGGCGGCAGGTGGTTTTGAGCCCAAGTGCCCAAACTGGAAAAAAAAAGGAATGAAATGAAACAGCGGGCGGCAGGTGACTGTGGCAGCAGAAGTGGAATTGGCAGCGGAAGGGGAAATCTTGGGCATGGAGGTGCCATCGGTTCACCATCACTGTTGTAGCCCCTCCATTTTCATCAGTTTTTTTCAAATGTTGTAAATGGCAAATGTTTTGAAAATATTGGAGAGACCCATAAATATGTTGCAGGCTTCCACAGTTCCTCCCGAAGATACATTCCTACCTAGAAACCCACCTTTGTGTAGCAATTCACTGAGATATTTCCATGACTAAGCCACTAGGAAGATAGTAATGAAATTACTCATTGGAACAACTGTTGTGGCCAACCAAAGCAGAAAATATTTTCTGGCTCCTTACACACTTAGCTACCATTGAGCCATTCAAGAAACAGAAAATGCAATTCGTATATTCCTTTTACCTTAACTTTACTAATGCCTTAATGAAACCTTTAATTAAATCAAAAATCTTCATAAAACCCTTTTCAAACATCCATATTCATGTCCATCCACTTACTTCATGGCATGAGCTTGCCATTGCATTTATCTTTTAAATTTTTTGCTTCTGAGCTTTTACGCAACATGGTGTATTCAATGCTTACTCTTGGAATAAAATGTCTATCGGAAGCTGGTAGAAGAGAAAATGAAACAGGGAAGCATTGTTCCAGGTTATGCATTGCTAGTTTTCTGTACTGTATCATTGTATTCTGGCATTTTTGAAAACAACTCTGTGCCTTAGTGCTAAATTTATGCTGTATGAGAAGAGAAACTAAAGGCAATAACAGTTGGTATCCAAATTCTCCCCGTAGGCAAATTCTCCCTCCCAGCTAGGCAAAATCTTAGCTTCTGGGTTACCCACTAGATTCCACTACCCCAAGTTGTCATCAAACCAGGTTTAACCCCAACTGTCAGACATCAGTTTGGCACTCCTAGGCCCCATCCCCACACCTGAATCTAAGGAGATCTGGTAACCTCTTGTAGGTATTACCTCTCACACACAAAAGCTACTGATAAGATAACAAGACAGAAGTAGCTCATTCAGTTTCTTGCCATTTTTCACAGGAAAAAGTAAATAATAGAACACTGAAGTAATGTGAACAGACAACCAGAGAATTAAAAATAGAATGCATTCTAAAATGCCTCTTGTGTTGTTGTTTTTTACCTATAATGTTAATTAATAAAGAGATATCACAAAATAGATGTGGAAACCTTTGTTAGACAGATGTGAATAAAAATATATTGTACAATAGACACTTTTACAGACTGTTGTAAAAGGAGAAAAAGAATAGAGATTATTTTAAACTGTTTAATGATAAACAGGTACATAAGGGGGGGAAAGGTGTCATTTGTTTTATAATGCTTTAGCTTCGTAATCAATAATAATTAAGTTTTGAAAAGGGTATAAAGTAGTATATATTCTGTAGTACCAATGGAATTAATCTGCATATGTATTGTACTGTCCCAGTTGTATTGTATTGAAAGTAAATTACATCATTCATACTGCTCAGAGGAGGAGGAATTTTAGCTCAAACCTTGAGATCTGTAGCCCCCGGACTCCACTGGATCGGGTGCCAGATCCTGTGACCCTCAGCTTCTGAGCTTTCCAAAAGCTGAGATGTCCACATTTTGACAAGGGTTATTTTGACTACTAATGCAGAACTAAGTACAGTCGTGCCCCGCTTAACAATTGCCCCTCACTACGATGAGTCCGCTTTAAGATGATCTTTTTGCTATCGCAATTGCGACCGCAAAACGATGGTCTAAATGGGGGAATTTCGCTTAGCGATGATTGGTTCCCTGCTTCGGGAACCGATTTTCGCTTTACGACGATCAAAAACAGCTGATCGTCGGGTTTTCAAAATGGCCACCAGGTGCTTAAAATGGCTCCCCGCTATGCTTAGGGATGGCTTCCTTGCTATACAGGGAGCGAAAATGGCCGCCATATGGACGATCTTCGCTGGACGGTGAGTTTTTACCCTATTGGAATGCATTGAACAGTTTTCAATGCGTTTCAATGGATTTTTTAATTTCACGTTACGATGCTTTCGCTTAACAGCAATTTTCCTGGAACGGATTATCGTCGTTAAGCGAGGCACCACTGTATATAAATCTAGAGATATCACACACTATTATGGGATTGAAACAGAGAAAGATACATGTTTCGTGTTCATGGAATGCAACCAACTCTGGAACTCATGCCAGGTCTAAGAGTGGAAAGGAGATTACAGTGGTGCACCAGACTATGGACATCACATAACCATAGATTCTAACTGGCCACGACTGGGTGAGCTTTTCTCTTTTTAGAGAAAATATTTTCTCCATGTGTGTTAACATCATGTTTAGAGCTAAATAATACTTTTTATTTTGTATCTTCTTATTATAAGAATTCTGATGTTCTTTCTGTATTTTTAAGAAACTTTTAAAGCTTTTGGAGTTGTATTGCTTTTTTACTTTGAAATATTATAGATACGTGTTTTTTACCTTTGTAAGCTATGAGCTCCTGTGTTTTAATGCTTTGTATTTTTTTATTCAAACTTGGCTTAAATTTTGACTATAACCCAAATTTCAATAACTGCATCTTTTTATAAATTGCAATAATTCATTGTAAGTAAGCCTACAGTTTTTGCATACCTGTATTGTTTTTCTGCTGGAGGAGACTCTGGAGAGTCGCCTGAACTGCCAGGAGAACAAACCTATCCATTCTGAAGGAAATCAAACCTGAGTGCTCACTGGAAGGACAGATCCTGAAGTTGAGGCTCCAATACTTTGGCCATCTCATGAGAAGAGAAGACTCCTTGGAAAAGACCTTGATGTTAGGAAAGTGGGAAGGCAGGAGGACAAGGGGACAACAGAGGATGAGATGGTTGGACAGCGTTATCAAAGCTACCAACATGAATTTGACCCAGCTCCGGATGGCAGTGGAAGACAGCAGGGCCTGGTCTGCTCTCGTCCCTGGGGTCATGAAGAGTAGGACACAACTTAATGACTAAACAACAACAAATGTTTTCTGGATTCAAGTATATGTGTCCACAGTTTTTTCCTCATAACTGAAAGACTGTCTTTGATTTTTTTTTTAATTAGTTGTTATTTTTAAGTATGGAACATAGAAATGATGTAAATAAATAGAACTTGTACAAAATTTTGCAATTATCACAACAGTGAAGACAGTTATAATGAGATACTCAGATGAGTTTGGAAATACTTGTCACTGATTGTCTGGTTTCATTCTGGGATTAACCCTTACTGAGATGATGTCACCTATAACAAATCATAGAATCTGTTCTTTGCCTGGGGGGGCGGGTGTCAATAAATTTCTTTAGGACTCCTGTGGGAGTCATTATTCTTATCAGTTTCTAACAAATGTTACAGGCAAGGTATTGTCCATCTGCAATGATCAAAGGTATTCTGAGTGAAAACTATAAAAATAAAATGGGAAATCTTGTAATAAAATTTATCCAGACTTGAACATGTAGGAAGGCATCCCGAGGTTGAGAATTCCACCACCACTCCCCACCCACCTAGCTTGCACAGTTAAGCAGCATGTGGGACATATTTAATTTTTTTCTGTGAAAACCAAGGAGAACAGTTTTGTTTTGTTTTCCCATGCAGTCAAAGCAATAGGAAATACAGTATTCTTTCAGCATTAAGTGGGTGATGATGCTTGCCATCACATATGAACTACTCAACTCATATGAACTACACATATGAAACCCAGTGGCAGCTTCAAAGCATCACGGGTGTTAACAACAACACAAAGTCAATCACAGGCTCCGTAGCTCTACAGGGCCGGTGTGGGGAGACCCAGGATTCCTGTTCCCCATTGTCCCAGGGGAACACCTCCTGGTTTAACATTTCCAAAAGGGAAATAAATGGGTTGCCATTTACTGGCATATTGCTGAGCAGGTCCCTGAGCTGTTTAAACTTACGGTACATACAGGAATTACAAGAATTCAATGTGGGGGAAAGGCCACAACTTTATTGGATACAGCAGCAGTCTCTGACCAGGGTCAGAGCAGATCTGAGGTGATAGGAAAATAAAAGCAGAGGCTTGAAAAATAGAATTATTTTGGTGTCTGAGAGCAAGAATAGCTCAGACATAGACAGACAGTAACTAAAAGGTTGATAGCTGGAGAACATCCAGAGAGAGCTGCTGAGTGAAGCGCAACAACTCTGGAGAGAAAGTTTGTATTAACGAGATATGTTGGAATTGTAGATACCTGTTCCCATTTAACCCTATGTCATCCTGATGTGATTCCTAAAGAACAAATACTTCCAAATCAAACTGTTACAATCAAGGGAATAAGTTCTACTCCAGTGATTTTACCTATGGCTAAAGTAAAGATAAACTATCGAGAGTGAGTTGGAATTTGGGATGTGGCAATTTCTGATCAAATTCCAGCACCTTGTTTGATCGGGTTAGCTCTCTACAAGCATGTGCAGAGTGCTTTTGTAGTAACATGTTCCCAGGGAGAGCAGCTAACAATCCTTGTGGGAAAAATGGAATCCCTAACTTCCGAAAGTAACCTGGAAAGCCCCAGTTTAAAAGAAAAACCTGAGGCGGATGAAATAGCAGAAGTTATATTTATGAAAAACCCTAATAATTCATTATTTGATAAGGAACAGAAGGAGGATACCACCCTTACGCAGAGTGTTTTAGTGGTAACCCGCTCCCAGGGCGAGCAAATTACAGTCCCTGAGGAAAAATTGGGAGTCCTAGCCTCTGAATCAAACCTGGGATATCCCAGTCTAAAGGAAAACCCTGAGGTAGCAGAAATGGCTGAGGTGATCATATTGAAGAATCCTGATAATACTTCCTTTATTGATGAGCAGAAGGAAAATATTACTTTAAATGATTGTATTAGAAAAGCTAATGAGAATCCCATTCCATTAATGCCTGAATGCCCAGAGAGATTTATAACAGAAAACCTAAGTGTTATATAGGGAAGTTTTGTTAGGGCCTCAGAGGCGTGGAGATGGAATCCTCAAGCAACTTATTGTACCAAAAAATATAGAGGCAAGATCTTAACCAAGGCGCATAGTGATGCTTTTGGAACTCACATGGGAATATCGCGTACCAAACAAAGGGCTGCAAGGAACTTTTACTGGCCAGGAATGGGTCAGCAAGTGAAGCAGTTTTGTCAGACATGTGATACATGCCAAATGAGTGGTATTAGGGATGAAAAGAGGCTAAGCTATGCTCATTGCCAGGGATATAGACCCCTTGCCAATGCATAAGTCTGCAAAAGTCCTTAGAGATAGCAGAGCAAAGCTTGGGGGGTTCTCAAGAAAAGAAGAGGGGCTGATGTGATGAAAAGACCCGGGAAAGAGCATTTTGTCCCAAGGACAAAGTTGTGAGGCTGAGACCCATAGAGGGGGGTGAAATGCTGTTGGCATGGTCAGGACCTGTGGATATGTTGCAGCAGCACTTTAGGGCTGAGGAGTCTAGCCGCTCTGCAACTGCAAAAGCACTTAAAACCTTGCAAGGCAAACCCCTGCCTAAAAAACTAGAAGTTAAAAGGACCCACATATGGAGAACTTTGCAACAAAAGTACCTGTGGGTGAGATTGTGGGTGAGACCGAAGGCAAAAGCAATAAAGTTTCTAGTAAGAACAAAGTCATAGCTGTGCTGGAAGAGTGGAAGAAACTGCCTACTCTTTCCCCAGTTGAGAAAGCGAAGCCGCGATTCCAAAGGAAAGCAGGCATCACCCGGAAAAGGCAAGCTGAGGACGTCCAGTGGACATCGGGGTGCCCGATGACTGTCAATCATCAGAAGAGAGTATGCACTTCAAGATCTGCCTGTGTTGTGCCGGACTACAACCGGGAGTTCACAATCTGTGTGGGTGCATCGAGCATCAATCTGAGAGCCATGCTGTGCCAAGTGAATGACAGTGGGAATCTACACCCAGTGACTCTGATCAGCAGGATATTCGAACCCTGTGAGAGACATTTGTCTGCCATTGAGAGGGCGTGTGTGAGGCCCCCAAAGTGGAGGCCTTAGTGGGAGTGCCGTCGCTCTCAAAGAGAACCCTCTACACACAGACATCCCCACCTCCGTCCCCAACGCGGCGGGAAGAGAAAGGTGTGGAGACCCCAGATTGGGAGCAAGTGGTCGCTGAACCCCTTACCTCAAACAAGGGGGTAGATACACAAGACCTGGAGGCGACTATGAAAGGGTTAACCCTTTCCCCGGACCCGGGGAATCTTTGGCGGGAAGAAGGAGGGAGGAGATTGAGGCGGCGGCGGGAGATATAAGAGGGAAGCCAGCAGAGATACCGGGGTGGTGGTGGTGGGAGTGGATCTGGTTAGAGGATCCTTGGACCCACAAATGGGAGCAGGTCCAAGTCCCCCATGAGGAAGCCGAGAAACGCCGGCAACTTGGGCTAAAGCCTCGCCCGTCATACTGGGGTGAGACCGAGGCCAAGGAGTGGAGGAGGAAGCTCCGGGAGGAAAGAGAAGCTGTGGCACGGGAACTGGAACGTAAGAAGCAATGGCATATAGCCGAGTTGAGGAAGCTGGGGGGTTACCCGGCCCCTGGGGGGTTGATGGAGGAGACGGATCGTCCTGGGGCGAGTGGAGCGGGGACGAAGAGATTATTCCGTTGATCTCGCTGGAAGAAGAATTGGACCCTGGGCAGGGGACTGTGCCGTTATTAACAGGACCTTGGAACCCAGAGACAACTAACCCTTTTGTAAATAGTTTGTGGACCCCGTTGAAACCTAGTAACATGTTGCAAGAATCTCTGGACCCCTTTATACGAGTGAACCATGTTGGAGTTGAGGTTGCAATAAATACAGAACCTTTGGATTTGCCTGAACCGACTCGTCCTTTATTTGGAGAACAGACAGCCCCAAAAACTGAACCCTCACAGCGTGCCTATCTATCGGATGGACGCTGAAAAAGCTGAAGCCCTACATTTGTGGAAGGAAGTTCGTCCTTTGCACTGACCATTTCCCTTTGGTGTGGCTATGGACTATGAATTCCAATAAACTTGCAAGATGGACACTGAACCTGCAAGACTTTGACTTTGAGATCTGCAGCATAAAAGGGACTCAGAGTGTGGATGCTGATGCCTTTTCTTGAAGGCCAAATGACTAATGGGTAGTTAAAAAAAGAGTTTGGGATGGTGGTATTAAATGTTCTGTTTTTTAAAAAGTTATGAAATATGATTAAAGCGCAAAGTTTGTTTGGATGTTGTGTGCATGTTTTCCAAAAGAAGTTTTGGGGGGGGAGGGGGGCAAAGAGGTTGGAGATCGAGTTCCATAACTAAGGAATAGAGATATCTGATTTTTCCCCTCTATTTTTATATGGGAAAACAGTAAGATTTTCTCCCAGTTAACAGGACTCTTCCAAACCTTATTATTACCTATGAAGAGCACCACACCTAAGGAAATATACCACACACTCTTTCGCCCATGAAGTTCCTGCATTAAGTTCAGGAGCCTGATCAGATGGCAGTTTAACCTTACAATCATTTAAAGCCAATCTTCCCCTCTAGAAAGAAAACAGATGACCCCATCAGCTTTTCCATGTAGTCAGGTAGTGAGGGGCATTGTAGGAAGGCAAACAAGATATGTTCCATACATTTTAAAATGAATTTGGTTGAAATAGAATGACATCATGAGCTACCAGCCCTGTAAAGCTGGTAGGGATTACTCAAATTTCCACCTCTACCTAAGGGAAACAATACCTTGATGGATCGATCATTCATAATAAAATCTTCCGGTGATTTGCATTGCTCCCTGTAGTATGATCTGACCATTTGAAAAGTCCCAAGCAGCAGAGTTTTCTCCACTAGACATTAGATAAGAAGCAGGAAAAATACAAACAGATACCATTTCTCAAACACGGCTTTTGGAAAGTGACAACAATGATCAGTGATATTCTTTCTCCAATTCTCATATTTTGTTGGATCATTTTAGGAATCCTATCTTTCCTTGCACTTTTAGGGAATGGATTTATCACAGCTGTGATTGGTCACCAATGGCTCCAAAAGGGGAAGATAGCTCCTTGTGATTTCCTCTTATCTGCATTGAGCACCTCCAGATTTCTGGTGCAGTTGATTTCTGTCTTGGGCTATCCTGTGTATTTCAACATTTCATGGTCTGATGTTTATTATTATACACTGCAAGTCATGAACTTTACCTGGTCCTTCTTTGCCATAGTCAACCTCTGGAGTGCCACATGGCTCAGCATTTTCTATTGTGTGAAGGTCACCAACTTTCCCAATCGTCTCTTCTTCTGGCTGAAAACAAGGATCAACGTGCTCGCGCCCAGACTGTTAGCAATGTCCGTTGCTGTTTCCACGATCGTCTCTCTTCCTTCATTTCTCAGCCATTTTGAAAACAGAAAATGGTGCAATCTAACAGAAATTCACCCTGTGAATAACTGTCCAAAGTCAATAGATTTTTTTAGCCCTCTGCTGCTTGCTTTTACGGTCATCAATTTCAGCCTAAACGTACTGGCATCCCTTCTTCTGCTCACCTCTCTGTGGAGGCACACAAGGAATCTGAGGAAGAATGGTGCTGCTCTTAAGGACCTCAGCACTCACGTCCACATCAAGGTCATGAAGTTTCTTCTGTTTTATCTCTTCCTGTATATTTTGTATTTCACAGGGATGGTACTTGGTACAGCAAACATTTTCGAGTTTGGAACACCTGGACGACTGGTCACTGAAATTTTGCTGTCTGTTTTTTCATCAGCACACTCCACCATATTAATACTGACTCATCCAAAACTTAAAAAAACCCTTTTGTTTGCATTCTAAAAATCAGACTATGTTCTTCATGGAAAGGAAAGAGATCAGATGTGTTTCTTGTGTATCCCTGTAAGGTACTTTCCTCTTTTGCGATTTACTTTCCACAACTCTAGACACCAAGAGCCCAACTACACCATCAAAAACATTGGGATTTGCTCCACTTCTAAAACAGGGAATCTTTCTGCTATCTGTATGGTGCAATTGCAGATTCAAATCCATTTGGAGCTCTTTGCTTGCAAAACGTTTTTTTTTCCTCTTCCACCTGAGAACTTCTATTTTTTTTTATTACTGGAAGGATTCGAAAGAGCTTTTCTCTGTGCAGATATGGGTAAGGATAGGGGGACGTCTGTAGAGGGGAAGAAGGGGGAAGAGTGGAAGGAACTGTGAGAAAAGAGAGGGAGTGTGAGAGAAGGGGACAGTGAAAGAGAGCAGGGAGTGTGTGTTTGTGTGAGAGTGGAAAAGGAGGGGGGGAAAAAGACCAAGGAGAGAATAGAAGCCACTACAGGACTCAGTGAGTTTCCCACCTTTATCACATGGCGAGGGACTAGGGGGAGACATCTGACCGACCTCTTGCTTGCCTCTGTGTGTGTGTGTATCTCAGGTTCTATTTTTTTATATATGCGGATAGTTTTCATGCATGTTTTTCTCTCTGTGGGAGTGCATGTGAAAGGGGTTAATTAAGCACTGGTGTGGATTTGCAGGACAAAGAATGAGAGAGGGGGGTGTGAAACTCAAAGGAACAAAAATTAAAATAAGAAATGAAAGGATGATCAGCAAGAGAAAAGAACATTGGTGGTGTTCACTGGAACACCCCTGCACATAATGTTTTTGTAAAAAAAGAAAAAAAGTGGAAAGGTAAAAGAGGAAAGTGAGATGAAATGAAAGACAATGCCATGGAATATGTGTATTTGAAAACAAAGCTTCCTTGCAAGAAACCATAAAAAGAAAGTGAGAAGTGGGAGTAGAGGAAGAAAAGAAAGAAATGGGTCTGTGGGCTGGAACACCAATGTGACTCATTTAGTACAAACCTTAAACTCTTGAAACATTCCACAGCCCCTGTGTGAGCACTGATTGTGATTTGAAAATGCAATACAGGCTTCAAAGCAAATTGAAGCAAAGCTGAGTCCTTCCGATTCACACCCTGGAATGGATGCTGAGGATCCATTTGTGTTTGGAGAAGTCCAGGAACCACTGTTTGAACTTGTGAGGCCTGATATTCTTGAGTTAACAAGAGTGGACATTCTGGTGTAGCAAAGCTGAATACCTCTGAGCTGGCAAGATCCGACACTGAGATAGTAAGGGCGGAGACTCTGGATCAGAACTGATCGAACTCACCTGAGCCTGACTCCTCTATGGCCATGGCAACAAACAGCATCACTAGCCTGCTTCCAGCACTGGGTGGCCTTCCTTCCTGTCGCGGCTTTGCGGTGCAATAATACGCAGAGTTATCTGATTGAAGACACACACACACTCTTCTTCTATAATAAGACACGTGTATTATACAAATATATACAAATATACAAACTAGCAGCACTTCGGCGTAGCAGGCAATCAACATACCAACTGGCATAGAGGATAGCAGCAAGTGAAAGAAGGAGAAGATACATTCATGTTCATACTGTTCACTTATATACAGATACACAGCTTCTTCTGTCCAATCACAGGATGCATTACATCATCTTCTCCATGTGGCTGTCACCTCTTCTCCAGACATTGCATCATCTCTTCCTCAGTCACAGTGACTCAGCAGTCACGCAGCTGTACATTATGGCAGCTCATTAATGTTCCCTTTAATACATGTTCAGGCCTATAAAATTACAATACCTTGACACTTCCTTCAGATGCTCCACAGTTCTGAAGAGGGATCAATTCTTGTATGATTTCCATGCTCTGGAAGTTGGGTGCCAATGCCAACAGCACACCTAGGAGTAGGAGCTATGGTAGAAGAAACCAAAGAGTCAGGATACAGGCCAGTTGGCTGTTCTATTAAGGCAAGAAACGGGTGGCTTCCAGATATTTGGGGACTGATATTAACTCTCAAAGATTTCTGAGTGGTGAAGACCAGAAGAGATTGTGAAGAAAATTAACTGAGACATTTCCACTAATAGGTTACTGGGAAGAGAGTAATGGAATTATTCATTGAAACAATGGCCACAGCCAAACAAAGCAGAAAATACTTTCCGGATCCTTACGCATTTAGCTGCCATTGAGCCAGTCAGGAACCACAGAAAATGCAATTCATACATTCTTTTTACCTTAACTTTACAAAAGCCTTAATGAAACCTTTATTTCAATCACAAATCTTCATAAAATCTCGCTATGGCCTTATATATAATACATTAAATGTTAATAAAATTATGGAAAATTAATCACAATAATCTATGAAAATGACACTTTTCTACTGTCTTGCCCATCTTCATTCTTACTCCACCCACTGCACTTCCCTCCCCCATTTTACACAACCCCGCCTTCTCAAACTTCCAAATACTGTTAATATTGTGCTTCTGAGCTTTTATGCTATGTTGTGTGATCAACACTTACTTTTAGAATAATAGGTGTATAGGGGGTTGGCAGTAGAGAAAACAAAATGAGAACATTGTGCATCACTCGTTTTCTGTACTGCATCACTGTATTTAAAAAAAACAACTCTGTGCCTTAGTGCTAAATTTGTGCTGTATGAGAAGAGAAGGAAAGGGAAACTAAAGGCAACAACAGCTGATATCCAAAGATAATTGAACAAAACAAAGAGGTGGGAGTGGCGCTAAGGAATGGAGGGGGAGGGGGAGACTGACCAGTGGAAACACCCATAAAGTGAGTGGAACAAGTTCGCAATGGAGTCGAAATGAGCAGATCTTAACACTAGAGCAGACTGTAACAAAGGAGGGTAACACTTCATCACCCAGAAAGCAAAGGTTTTTGTCCCACTTTCACTCTCTAAACACTCATGTCAATTTTGCATTGCTTACACTTGGATGCAGTACCAGCATCATGGCTACAAGGAACACTGAAAAATGATCAGTGTGGACAAGCTCCATTTCACAGAAATATTTGTTTTGTCACCTGACCTGGTCAAGTCTGGGTTTTACTTCCTGAAGTTACTATGTCCTAATTTGCTTCCCAGCATTCTCAGAAGAAGAAGAAGCAACATCCCTATGGGAAGGGACATGAAGTCTAAGGCAGAACAGCTTTCTGCTTACCTTGCATGGCTTGCCAGTTCCCCTCATTTCCTTAGGCTCTTTCTCTGAGCTTTCCCACTAGATTCCTCTACCCTCAGTCTTCATCAAACCAGGCTTGATCACCTCAACTTTTAGGCACCTGAAGGGGTCCAGTTAATGTAGGATATATATCTTAGCCTAACCATAGCCATCTTGCTTTCTGTAACTGTTTTGCTGCATAAAGGTCAGGTTTTTGCTCACTCGGCAAGAATAGAAAAAGGAGGGAGGCTGCCTGCTTTCTCTGAGCTTACCCACAAGATTCCACTACCCTGTGAGCACGAAAGAAATATAGTTTGTATAGGACGCTTTGACAGCCCCCTAGACCCTTACTCTTAAGCCCCTATATGCTTTTTCCTATAAAAAGGCTCTTTTCGTGAAATATAGAAAAGCTTTGCTTTTAATCTTGATGCCACAGTTGCATCTGCCTGTTTCCTCTTGAAACTAAGCTGTGGTATATTTTGGCCAACCACCAATATCCTATCTAACCAATTTCCTATGGAAAACCTTTGAGACAGCTTGCAAATCAAGGTAGAAAAACCCAGAGGGCGGGGGTAACCGCCTGCATATCTAGCATTATTTGCCATGTAACTGCAAGACCCCTATAGATGGTATACTGCCTTGACCTATTTGTCAGTCAATAACCTACTTGTAAGCCTGTGACCTACTTATCAGCCAATGATAATTTTCATGCTTTTGTTTCCTTGTGGTTAAAAGGCATAAAAGCTCTTTGCACTTTTCGATCCGGGTTCCTCAATTCAGAGAGACCCGAGTGATATCACTTGAAATAAAACAGTTTCCTGTACGGGGAGATTCTGGCACCATTTGGGCAAGCAGGCTCCTGCCTAATGCTTTAATACTGTCCAGATCAAATTTTATTGCCCTAACCCAACAAGAAAGTTGCGACAATGTAAAATTTGCACTTTAATTTTGATGTTGTATTCTTTTGTTATTTTATGTTTTTTGTCACTGTTGTGAACCACCCAGAGTGGCCCTGAGTGCCAGATGGGTGGTATATAAATCAAATCATACATACATAAATACATAAATACATAAAAATACATAAATAAAAAGAAAAACCCCACAAACATTAGCATCCTATAACATCACTCATACTATTCCTAAAGCAAACATTATGATCTCCTACCCCTAAAATTATGATAGGTAGATGGACTGGACTAGAAACTTCAGTTTCTTGGTCTTTCTGCCTCTAGTCTTTATTTCAAATTCTCCCCACTGGCCAATGTAGAGCTGGCCAGGGTATTCCTTTCCCTGCTGGCCTATGAGGAGCTAAACAAGGGGATCCCCCTACCCTATGTTGGCTCCTGGACCCTCTACAGCCCACCAGCCTGTATTCAACCAGTCCACTAGTGAACTCTCAGTCGAGAAAAAAAACAAGTAAACTTAGCCTATCCTGCCATGCACATATAATGAAATTAGAGAAGTGACCAAAATAGGCTATATTGCTTGGGAAAGAGCAGTGGAGCAGAAGGAAGAGAGGAAGATCTAACATGAGCTGGGTTGACTCAATAAAGAAAGCCACAGGTGTTAGTTTTCAAGATCCGAGCAGAGCTTAATGGAAAAGACTTATTAGGAATGGGTAGGTGAAGCAGGAGAGGAGAACCTAACATGAGATGCTCTTGGTTTGCAAGATCTGACCAGAGCTCTTAATGACTGGACATTTTGGAAGCCAACAACTCATACAGAGTGAGAAACTTGTGGGGAAGGTGAGTTTACCTCCCTTCTGTGTCCCCAACCTTCCCCCAATGTTCTCCCGATGCTCTTGGTTTGCAAGAT